ATGAGCTTGAGGCGGCGGCTGGAGGCCGACACGATGGTGTTCTGGGGCTTGAAGTCCCTGGGGCCGGGGGAAGGGGGGCGTTTTGGGACAAGGGGCGTGGATGTGCGGGAGCAGCGGGTGGGGGCTGAGGGGTTGGGGCACGGGTCTAATCCGCATTTTTTGAGTTGACCGGGCCCTGCTGGTACGCCCCCCGCATCCACGTCACAAAGTGGGTTGCCGCATCTGACAGATTGGTACTCGGCATGTCATTGCAATTGAGCCGCCAAGTGCTGGCTGGATCCACCGTGTGACACCCGCGTGGACGACAGGCCGCGCGGTGCGTGCGTGACAGGAGCCGCACCTGTGCACGATGCCTGTGGCGTGGCAGTCGCGCAGCGCCTCAATCATCTGCCTCGCCGCCAGCTTCAGAGTGATCTGGGCCCATGAGCAGAGGCGGGGGCGGCGGCCGCGCAGCGGGCAGGGTCAGGCGGCGCCAACAGCGCCAGGGAGCTCTTGGCTGGCATCCAACACCGACAGCCTGCCGGCTTGTTAATCCCATGCAATTATTCCAGGGGGCTGCCTTTTGCGGCCGGCCGAGGGCGTCTAGCCGCCCCCACCTGGCGCCGCTTCGCGCCGCGCGGCAGCCGCAGCTCCCGGCCCAACAGGTAGGGCTCCAGATTGTAGGGGAAGTCCCCCACGTTCTTCTTCTGCGGGCGGATCCAGGGGGGTTGAGCGGCGGGTGTGGTGGTCATGAGCAAGGAAGGGGGGCCGACCAGCTGGCGGGGCGTCTCAACCATGATTCGAAAAGCAGGCGTGCGACAGAAGGCAGCAAGTCGAATGCAGCCTCGGTCCGCCTCGCATCGCGCAGCTGGTGGGCAGCTTCTCACCGGCTGCATGAGGTCCCACAGGGTCGGCCCCTTCTCGTCCCGCCACACGATCCACACCACAGGGTCAGAATTGGCCGCCGCCCCCGCCTTGGCCGGCGCCCGCGCCGCGCCGAGCAGCGCGGCGGCCCGCCGCTGCACATCGGCGATCAGGGGGCGCGCGCCGCCCACGTTGGCGTTTTCGGCGGAGGGGGTCTCCTCGAAGGCTGTGACGTACTCGGCAATGACCTGTGGCGACGCGCGCGCCATGCGCTCATTCATCCAGACCTCTGCCTCTCCGAATTCCTTGGCCTGAGGGGCAGGGAGAGCGCGCCCGCACAGTCGTGGGTGCGTGTGCGGGGAGGAGGGAGAGGGGTCGGGGTTCTGGTCTGGCTGACAGGTGGCGGGCGAAAGATGGGCGTGGCGGGTGTGACGCCGATGGTATCTGCCATGTGGAGGGGGCCATGTGGAGGCGAGGGGCGTGACACGCAGCGGGCGACGCTGGTCGTCAAAGGCCGTCAGTCGTCGTCTGTTCTTGTTCAACAATGATTGTCAAAAGCCGCGCCCCCAGTTAGCCCCATTAATTGCCAGCAGAGGGGCATGCGCTCACGTGGCCCTGCTGCACTGCGTAAGAATCGCCGCATGCCAGATCAGCAGGCGCAGACGAGACCCAGAACCTGACACCAAAACCAACACCGCACCTTCTTGACAATGACATCCACCGGCGCCTCCCCCTCCCTCTCCGGCGCCAGCGTGGCCCTGAACACGCTGCCAAACGCGCCGCTGCCGATCTTCTTGCCCAGATCAAGGTCCGACTGCGGGCGTCGCGCGTGGTCCGGTTCAGTGCGCAGCCGCGGCGGACGATGTGACATGATCGTTGCCGCGCGTGGATGTGGGGGCGCGTGTGAGCGCCCGCGCTTCTGGCGATGTCGGTTGCACATATGTTTCGTGCCCAGCCCCCTGGCCGCAGCGGCTCTCCATCCGCAAAACACGCTTCAACCGCAGCAACCGCCTTCTCTCCGAACGCTTTCGGTGCTGCCGGCACTCGGGGCTTCAGGATTCAATCCAAGCTCGGCGCCGCAGCCGGGCTGCGCCGGGCCTCCCCGCACACCTGCTGTATGGCCCGCTGCCTCTGGGCCTGCAGCGCCGCCGCTATATACAGGTCGTACACCGCCGGCAGCACGCCTGGGGCGCGCGAGTGATAGGTGATGCGTATCGCATCGTCAGGCTGTGCCGCCGCGGGGGCACAGCAAAGGGGTGCGGGGCAGGCCCGGGATCCACGGCCACGCCGAACGGCGCACGCCGCCGCTGCTTATGCCTCGACGTGTCCCGCGGCACCCTCCGGCACCCTCGGGCCCGTGATGTCATCAGGCGGGCGGCGCGGGCGCGTGCTGCGCACCCGGAGATGAGAAGAGGTACAGCCCCGCCACCGCCAGGATCGCAAACGCCTGCCAGCTGGGGCCGCCGGCCTCGCCACGAAGGACGGGGTCGAGGGTGCTGGGGTGGGGGCGGCGGGTGAGCGAGAAGGGAGGGAGCGGGGTGCCGCTGAACATGCTGAACGGCATGCTGCAGGCTTCAAGGCAGTGCAGCACGGCTCGTCTCGTCACGAACAACCACGCACACGCGAGAGAGGGGCGGGATGTGCCCACACGCGCCAAGGCTCGGCTGCGCTGCGACGAGCGCTGAGGATTGTACCTGCGGTGGACCACGTCTCCGCACGACGTTAGGGAGCAGGGGCCCGCGATGGGCGTCGACGCCAACACCGCATGCTGCGCCAGCGTTTGCATGACGTGGGCCGCTGCATCGGGGCCGAGCGCGCGTGTGGCCGTGCTGCGCCTGGCCGCCACCACGCCCCAGAAGCGGTTGCTGTGGCCTAGAACATTAGCGTATGGGTGCGTGTAAGCCTCGCGCGCGGGCAGACGAGGAGATCGTGCCACGAAGTGTATCGGCGCCATGCTGCCAGGTTGCACAGTCACGGGTCGGCAGGGTTTTAAAGTGCTCTTTATGCTGGTGGCATGCCCCGAAGAGAAGGAGAGAGGGCCGAACACCAGTGAAGTCAGTTCGTGCGGGGTGACTGCGAGCGCGCGCTTTGTGGTGATACTGTGTGCCAGCAAATGAACCATTCGCCTCTAATCTGAGCTCTGTTGTCCGATCGGCGAGCCTCGACATACCCCTGGGGGATGGTGGAAACGGGTGTGCCAAACCCAAGGCAGCGTCGCTGCGAGCGGCACACCTCACCACTGGTAGCTGTCAGATGCGCGTGACCGCCAATTGTATGAGAGCGGCAGTGCCTTGCAACCCTTCCCGCTGAATTCAAAGCAAAAAGTGCAGCGGCGTGCAGTGTGACTGTCGAGCCTGCGGGGGGTGGATTCCTAGTGGTTGGTTTGATGACCTCACCCAACCGTCCCAGGTCCCCGCGCGCCCTGGCTGACGCGGCCTTTCGGGCCAACAATAAGCATACCAGCCTGCATGTCCCACCCAGCGCGATGTTGCGAATCGGCTGACCGGCGCCTGCCCGCTGATGAGGTACGGTAGCGCCGCACCGCACAGCCGCTGCAGCGCTTGGCACCCTAGAATCTTGAACCAGGAGAAAAGTCTCATCTTGCTGAGACCAGGGCTTGGCTCCCCGGCCTGCGCCTCGAAGCAAGGCCACTCTAGCACGGATCTCTCAAAGGGTGGGCGGGTGCTCCTGCCAGGACTACTCCGGGGGCAAAGTGCACAAATCAGGCTATATGATCCTGCAGCCTCGCCGACGCCCCTAATTCACAGCCAGCAATGTCCTTCTCTGCGACTTGTCCCTGATCAGCAGGGCGCGGGAGAAACGGCGTCTGCGCCCCCCGCCCAATCCTCTTGCGCAAAGAAGCAGCTGGCAAGCTTTGGTTGGGACAAGACCAAGCGATGCGTGAGTGTTGGCCGCGGCCTGCAGTGAGGCCAGTCAAGGATTGCCTGGCGCCTCTGATTCCAGGCGTCTGGCATACGGCGCAGTAACTGTGAGCTGCCGCCGTCCACACCTCCCACCAACATGCGAAGATTGTAGGCCTTCCAGCAACATCAAGACTGTACCACTGTGAGCCTGAGCAATGAAACCGCTGCAGGGCAGGTACACCCCCAGGTGCTCCTGCGGGTTGGCCCACATGAGCAAGGTTGTACCGCAACAGGCACAGCAATTGAACAAGCATTGTGCAAGCATGAGGTTGCGCAGTCACTGAAAATCTTAATGCTTGTATGCAAGCTCCACACAAACACCTGGCATGAAGCCTAGAGATACAATACCCTACGGTGGTGCGACAGTCAGAGCGCAGTTCATGAGTGACGCAGCGTTTGAGGTGGCGCAGACCATTGCTCATGTTTGTCACGCTGCGCAAACAAGGGAGTAAGTCTGACATAAAACTGGGCTTATATACAGCCTCTCCCGGCCCTCTGCGTGCCCGAAAGGTGATCTAGCTGTGTAACACCGTCGGCATCCCGATCTTCCTGAGGCCCCTCCAATGGATCCCGGTAAGCGAATGCGGCTGAAAGTTGCAGCATTAGCCAGCTGAATCACCCAATGAACACTGCTGGGCTCCGCTGCGGCACCAGCGGCGTGCGAGTGCCAACCAGAGTGCCGATGCCCGCGCGCTTCTGCGCGATGTATGTTGGCCGACACCAGTGCAGCCATAGATGGCTCCCAAATTCATCCTACGCAGAGGGCAGCCCCCCGCGGGTGCCGCCACTTTCCTCGGTCACCCTCGCCGGTCGTCGGCTCAGCTCCGCTGGCGCCAGTCGTGTCGGCGGCACCTCCAGGGCGGTCGCCGTCGCCAAAAGTAGACCAGGTGCGGCGCACTGTTGTGATATTTCTGCAATGCAAACAATTTGAGGACGTGCCTGGTGTCTCGTGGCCGCGCACTGCACACTTTACAATGCACATCGATCAAGGCTCGCCGCCCCGCTCCTGCCCCGTCGCAGCGCGCCGCGCACCGGAGCTGCGCCAGGAGACGCCGGCGCCCACCCCCGCCGCCGCCGTCACTGCCGCCGCCGCCCCTGCCCGCCCCGCCCCGCGCGCACGCGCACACCGCGCCGGTGCGCGCGCCGCCCTTCTGCTTGCGCCACTGGGCGGGCGCCTCTTCGGCCTCGCTCGGTCCGCGGCCGCGCGGCTGATTGGCGGCGGCGGCGGGGGCGGCGAGGGGGCCGGGCGCGCCTGCCTGTCTGACACCAGGATCTTCCCCAGCCTGGTGTGCTGCAGCTGAATTTTTTGTTGATTTCGGCGCCCCTTGCATCTGACGCGATCAGCTGCGCTTATCCTGGCCTCACGTACACTCCTTGATCCCCGCAGCTCGATCAGCCGCGAGCCCCCCGCCTCACGAGTCCGCCGCCGCGCCGCGCATGGCCCCGGCGCCCCCGCAGGCGCCCCGCGCGGCCTGCGCCGCGCCCGGCGCGCGCCCCGGCGCGCCC